GGGGCCGCACTGCCCCCTGGTGGTTGCAGGCGAGCACAGCTTCTCGGGCGCTGAGCTTGCATCATGGGGCTTAAAATATTCTGGGAAAAATGCTCCAGCGTTTTTAAGGTAAATTCTCCTGTTCCCAGAATGAGCCACAGCCCCATGCAAGAACATGGGTACATCTCAAAAACATCTGAGTCCAAGAAGCCAGGCACCAAAGATTACGCTCTGAGTCCGTTTATATGAAGTTCTAGATCAGGCCAAGCTATTTTTTTTTTTTTTTTTTTTTGAGACGGAGTTTCACTCTTGTTACCCAGGCTGGAGTGCAATGGCGCGATCTCGGCTCACCGCAACCTCCGCCTCCTGGGCTCAGCAATTCTCCTGCCTCAGCCTCCTGAGTAGTTGGGATTACAGGCACGCGCCACCATGCCCAGCTAATGTTTTGTATTTTTAGTAGAGACGGGGTTTCACCATGTTGACCAGGATGGTCTCGATCTCTTGACCTCGTGATCCACCCGCCTCGGCCTCCCAAAGTGCTGGGATTACAGGCTTGAGCCACCGCGCCCGGCTCAAACTATCTTAACGACAGGAACTAGAACAGTCATGGAATGTGGATATAGACTGGGCGGGGCACATCCAGCCGTTTGCCTGGAAACGTTTTCCATCTTGATTTGGGTGCTGTAATTATCCCAGCATAATCATATGTAAAAATAATTGAGATTTGAGATTTGTGCAATAAACTTTATATTAATTTCAAAATTAAAAAAATTTCTGAAACGTATGAAGGAATCCGTTGCCCAGATGCTTCATGTTGCCCCTCTAACCATTCTCCCGACAGCAGCCAGGGTGATTCTGAGAATATCAATCACATCACAGCAACCTCCTGTTTAAAACCTGACTGGTTTTAAGCACCCTGCTTAAAACCTTCTGTCTTTTCCCTGGATTTAGAATATAATCCAAAATCCAAAATGAATAGGGTTCCATCAGCTCTGGCCTGGTCTTGCCCTTGGATCCTATCACGCCCACCCCCTCCAACCCTGGCCTTGGCCTCCAGCCACACCGGCTTCCTTTCTTTCCTTTGTCCTGCCTGGAACCATGTACTTCCTGCACCTCTCCTTGGAATGCTGTCCCTGGCCTTTCTTCTTGTACTGGTCTCAGCTCAAATGTCACCTCCTCCAGCGAGTCCACAGCAAGCCCCATGCTGTTCTGGCGAGTCTATGCTGCATCCCCCCAATCCTTGCTTCTGAAGTGGCTTTGTACTGGGGAAGAAAGCAGCCTCCATCTTTGGGCTAACAGTACCATGCTGTGTGTCCTAAAGCTAAAATCTCAGCCAGCAAAACGATCCTCAATATTTTACCTGGACAAGCACCAAGACCCCTTCATGGTCCCTGAACGTTCCCTGGAGAGATGCTGCTATTTCTCTTGGGACCCCTTTCAACAATTCTTTTAAAAGTTGGTTAACTTAGGCCTCCAAGATCCACCTTCACCCTGCTGTGGGTCACAGGGCCCCTTCTCTCCTGCTGACCTCAAGGCAGATCTCGGAAGGGGACATGGATTGTGGCTCAAGACTGAACGAAAGCCTGTGACTGAGGTGTGTGTGCTGGTTCCCAGCTCCTGGCTGGCGAAAACCTTTCTTCATGTGGGACTGGGCGGCAAAGGCTGCCTCAGTGTCAGTGGGACTGCTTTCTCCCCGGTTCCCTCTGCTCTGTGACAGTCGGGACCTCATCTGCTCGTTTTCACCTCTGCATCCAGAACTCGAAACGAGCACCTGGTAAATAACAGAGCTGTGCTTAACCTGGATCTATCTCCAGAACACATCACTAAGTGAAAAAAAGCCAATGGCACTTGCCATCCTTTGTGTAACAATGAAGAAGAAATAAGATATCATATTTGCACAAATAAACTTTAAAAGAATAGAAAATAAATTAAGGGGCCGGGCACAGTGGCTCACGTCTGTAATCCCAGCACTTTGGGAGGCCGAGGCAGGCGAATCATTTGAAGTCAGGAGTTCAAGACCAGCCTAGCCAACATGGTGAAACCCCATCTCTACTAAAAATATGAAAGCTAACCAGGCATGATGGCTCACACCTATAGTCCCAGCTACTTGGGAGGCTGAGGTATGAGAATCGCTTGAACCCAGGAGGCAGAGGTTGCAGTGAGCTGAGATCACACCACTGCACTCCAGCCTGGGCAACAGAGTGAGAATTGGTCTCAAAAAAAAAAAAAAAAAAAATTAAGGAATGCAGCTGCTTACAGGAGGCTGATGAAATCAGACATATGAGTGACAGGTGGGAGAGGGCCTTCATCACGTTGAAAATTGTGAATGGAAGAGCTGGAAGGGCATGGATGAGTGGATGTTCCAGCTACTTTGAACCTGGTTACCAGGACTTTCCCAGGGGTCCCTGGCTCTCAGACCACTGAGATCATCCTGTGTTGGGCAATGGGGCTCAGGGAGGGGCCTTTCTTGCTACACTATCCTTACTCCCCAGCAGCTCCGAGTCACCCAGAAGGAATTCAAGTTAAAACGCTTGCCTTCAAGACTGTGGACTGTTAACTTTCATCAGAAGCAGCCTTTGGCATTTAATCATCACAACAAAAAAGTAGTCAATCACCTAGGTAGTTTAATTTCAGGGTCAAGGGGAAGATCTATTTCATCCAAGATCTCCTCCTGTGTGCATAGCTGAAATTCTACTTGTGTTTCTAATGAAATCCTACTAAAAGAAAAAAATTTCTTAATAAGTAACTTACCCTTTGTTGGAATCTAAACAGGATTTTCCCCGACAGCAGGTTTGATGGTAGGAAGGGAGAAATGGGGAGATCATGATTATAAGTGGGTTTCTGTGTGGCAAGGCTGCTAAACAGTGGGGAGTCTGGGGGATTTGGGGGATTCAGGGTATTCACATCACTGACTCCCCGTGGATGGTTGGTGACTGGGTGGCTGTACTCCAGTCTCTTTTTCCACTCCAGCCAGAAGTCAACTCATCCAATTAAGCTCCTCCACTCACTCTAGAAGAAACCTAAGCTGGCAGATGATAGTGAGGCTGACTTAGATATTTTAGGCAACATTAAAGATTCTTCACTTCCATTCCACTCTCTATCCATCTAACCGTCCCACTTCATTTCCATTTAACTTTCCATCCACCTGCCCATTAAACTTTCCTCTCACCCACATATCCAGCCATCACACATCATCAATCATTCCATCCATCTACCCATCCAAACAACCCACTCATTTATCCACTAACTCACCCACCTAACCATCTATCCGTATTTCCGTAAAACCACCCTACCATTCACTCATCCAAACCATCACCTATTCATTCATCTCACCACACAAGTATTTGGCTATTGATCTGGTCATCTATCCAATAATCCGCCAGTTCATCCATATACCCATAATGTATCCAACTATCCATCTAGTCATCCCAAATAGGTATCCGTTCATTCATCTATCCATCTTCCAGTCACCCAATTACCCACCCACCTTCCAATTAACCATCTAATCACCTAACCAACCAGCCATCTACTTACCTACTCAACTATTTAACCATCCATTTTATCCATTTGTCCAAATGGCCATTTACCCATATTATCATCCATCTGGCTGTGATTCCATTAATATTTCCATCCTTCATTCTATCCCATCTATAACGGCATTCTACTTTGTGTCAGGCTACTTTGAGCCTGTGGATATAGAGATGAAACCAACAGCACCTACCCCTTGAGAAGCTCCAAGTCTAGTAAGGGAGTCTATCTGACCCTTGGTGATGGCTTTTAAAAAAAATTTAAGACAGGGTCTTGCTCTGTCACCCTGGCTGGAGTGCAGCAGTGTCATCATGGCTCACTACAGCCTCAACTTCCTGGGCCCAAGAGATCCTCCCATCTCTGCCTCCTGAGTAGTTGGGACTACAGGTGCATGCTATACACGTGGCTGTTGTATTTTTTGTAAGGGTGGGATTTCACCATGTTGCCCAGGTTGGTCCCAAACCCCTGGGCTCCAGCGATCCACACGCCTTGGCCTCCCAAGGTGTTGGGATTACAGGCATGAGCCACCATGCCTGGCTAGTGATAGTTTTCTAGTCATCAGAGATTCTAGCTCTGAGACTCCAGTTGCAGAGATCTCCATCTCCCATGACATGGGGCAGCTGACTGATAATTCAGGATTTTACCATTGTTAATACGGAAGGAGCCTCTATTTCTGCTTAGCATCCAGTCAAATAGACCCAGGTCCTGCCTGGTCTGCTATGGGTAGTGACAATGCTCCAGATGTCTTTGGAACGTCTCCAGATGTCCCCCCTTGCCCCTTACACCGGATCCTTCACTCACGCCCCATCCACTGGAAAATGAAGTCCTACCATTGGAATGGCAGTCAGTGGCATTTTCCAGCCCGTCCCTCAACTCCTCCAATTCTTTTAATAAAAGCTCATTTTTTTTTTCCCTTGGAGGTTCGGCTTCTTCAACTTGCTGTTCAGGACAGAATCCAACCCAAAATCCCAGCTCCACGGGCTGCCTGAGCCTCAGATTTGGCCAACGAGGCACAGTCCTGGGGCTTTCGCTGCACCTGCTGTGAAGAAGGCGCTCTCCTTCTGTCTGCGTGGTTTTGCTGAAAGACTCTCGGAGCCATCTTTGCCACACAGGGAAGAGCCTGCCTGAGAATTAAGGCCACATGAGAGAAAGCCATTTCATCACCTGAATCCCGACAGATACCACCTAAAGTTCCTGGAGACACTTGTCCCTGTGTCCTTCCTCTCCCCCCTTCCCTCCCTCCTTCCCTCCCTCTCTCCCTCCTTCCCTCCCTCCCTCCCTCCTTCCCTCCCTCTCTCCCTCCTTCCCTCCCTCCCTCCTTCCCTCCCTCTTTTTCTCACTCTTCTCCTTCCTCCCTTAAGCCACCCCATTTTTTCTTGGCTTAAGCCAGTGTGAGTTGGATTTTATTCTTTTGCAACTGATAAAGTCCTTAAAAAGGCCAACACATTTGGAAGCCTCAAGAGTGGCAATAAAGTAACCATACCCTACCCCACTTCAAAATGTAAACGTGGTTTTATTTAATGCCTTTTATCCATCACAAAGCACCCACTCCTTCCCAGCATCCCCCTCTTCCTAGAAAACAAGATGCAGCGTAAGGCACGTGCACTGTCCACATGACGTCAAGTAGGGTCTTTAAAAACAAAATAAGCAACAGTCTTCCCGACAGCTTGAACTGCCTCCCTCCTAATGTTCGAAGAATGATTGTCCCCCCAAAGCACAACTTGAGGAAGAGAGTGCTTACATTAGAACTGTGAACCACCCACATGCCAGCTCAAAAATCCAAACCAAACCAATGACTAAGAAACCCAGCCACACAGGTACAAGAGCAAAACTGCGGAGTAATGAGACTAGTCCATAAATTAAAAAGAAGACAAAACAAACGTGTCCCCTCCTCATCACCAGCCCTCCCCCACGTTGGCAATTCCTTGCTTTTGTTCTGTGAGTCGTGTAGAAGAGTCTAGACTCCTGAGCCAGCCCTTTGCCCCAAAGTCAAATAATCCGAAGCCAATGCTGGGTACTTGGCTTCTCCGAACCCTCTTTTGGACTGATCACGGCTTTGGAGATGGTCACTGGACATGTCCTGTGGGTGGCGGGGCCCCTGGCTGGTGTCCAACATCTGGGTCTCTGGAATTCTCGGCGGGGAGGTGGGGAAGGCAAGGGAGTCTGGGAGTGATGGCCAGTGGAGATGCTGCCGATCCTGCTATAAATACTCCAGCTCCAGGGCGTGCCTCAGTGCCTCCAGGTCCGCGTGGCAGGATATCCGCCAGAAAGGCATGTTGTGCTGAAATACGGAACACCAGCCACAAGGTTATGGCCCCGCCCCTGCCCCTGGGTCCCACGTCTGTGGTTATAGGGCCATGTGAGATGTCAACCCAGTTAAGTCTAGCATGTGGGGACTTCCCAAACTATGCGGCACTTGATGTGGCTGGCAGACCCACATCTGGCCAGTACCCACCAGTATGGCTGACCATTTCTATCCACTCACAGCCTGCTCTGATGGCCTCATCCAGCACTGCCCAGCGTGTTCCCTGTTTGCCCCTCTTGCCTCCATTGGTACCAGCGTGGTCTTAGGTGGTGCACTGACATGGTGTTAAATTGCACAGTGGGAAAGCAATTCTTTTTAAACATTTGTTCTTGTCTGGGTACTGTGGCCCATGCTTGTAATCCCAGAACTTTGGGAGGCTGAGGCAGGAGGACTGCTTGAGGCCAGGAGTTGGAGGCTGCAGTGCTCTGAATCTCTTACTTCAAGAAGAAAGTCACAGCTAGGTGCTGGAACTCCCCCCCAACATTTGACAGTCTCCACTGTGAACAAACAGAGCTGGTCTTGGAGTCTTGAGCAAGTCACGGTAGCTAGCCAGGTCAGGGTGACACGAATCTGCTTTCTTAACAGCTTTTTTCTTTTCTTTTCTTTTTTTTTTTTGAGACGGAGTTTCGCTCTTGTTACCCAGGCTGGAGTGCAATGGCGCGATCTCGGCTCACCGCAACCTCCGCCTCCTGGGTTCAGGCAATTCTCCTGATCAGCCTCCTGAGTAGCTGGGATTACAGGCACACGCCACCATGCCCAGCTAATTTTTAGTATTTTTAGTAGAGACGGGGCTTCACCATGTTGACCAGGATGGTCTCGATCTTTTGACCTCGTGATCCACCCGCCTCAGACTCCCAAAGTGCTGGGATTACAGGCGTGAGCCACCGCGCCCAGCTTTTTTTTTTTTTTTTTTTTTTTTTAAAAAAAAAGATGGGGTTTCACTGTGATGGCTAGGCTGGTCTTGAACTCCTGACCTCAGGTGATCCACCCACCTCGGCCTCCCAAAGTGCTAAGATTACAGGCGTGAGCCGCCGCGCCAGGCCTGTTCATAGCTTTTATCTTTTCCTTCTTTTTACAGCAGGTGGTGCTTGCTTCAAGTTATTATCATGATGTTGAGTTTTTTCTTTTCTTTTTGGGACAGCGTATATCTTTGTTGTCCAGGCTAGAGTGCAGTGACACAATCTCTGCTCACTGTAGCCTCAACCTCCCAGGCTTAAGCGATCCTCCCACCTCAGCCTCCCGGGTAGCTGGGACTACAGATGCACGCCACCCATATCTGGCTAATTTTTGTATTTTTTGTAAAGATAGCTTTTCACCATGCCCAGGCTGGTCTCAAACTCCTGGGCTCAAGTGATCCATTCACCTCAGCCTCCCAAAGTGTTGGGATTAAGGCATGAGCCATCCTGTCCAGCTGAATTTTCATTTTTTTTTTTTTTTAATTTTAGAGATAGAGTCTCACTTTGCTGTCCAGGCTGGAGTGCAGATCATGGCTCATTGCAGCCTTCAGCTCTTGGGCTCAGCTGATCCTTCTGACTCAGCCTCCTGATATCCAGAAAAACAGGAAAAAGGGATGCAGGACAAACTGTATATATAATTTGGAGGAATGAGTGCTGGGGTTTCTCAGTAGTTTAAAGATAATAAATAAGACTACTAAATAAGACTACATCTTATTTATGCCCGGCCTGTTCTGTAGTTTCTAAACAATTCCCAGAAGCAGAAAACCATCTCCTATGGGAACAGCTCTCATCTCTGCCTTCTCACTGCCCCAGTGTTCCCACCCGGCCCTCATCCTGGCCAAGCCTTCCTTTCTTTGCAAGGACGGATTCTGATTGCCACCTGGCCAGTCCTGCCCTCTTTAAAGAGTGTGGCTCATACCTGTAATCCCAGCACTTTGGGAGGCTGAGGTGGGCAGATCACCTGAGGTCAGGAGTTTGAGACCAGCCTGGCCAACATGGCAAAACCCTGTCTCTATTTTTGTAATCTACTAATTACAAAAATTGGCTGGGCGTGGTGGCTCACACCCGTAATCCCAGCTACTTGAGGCTGAGGCATGAGAATCGCTTGAACCTGGGAGGCGGAGGTTGCAGTGAGCAGAGATTGCACCACTGCACTCCAGCTTGGGTGACAGAGTGAGACTCAAAAAAAAAAAAAAAAAAAAAGAATGATTCATTTTTCTGAGAGAGAATGAGCAAAGGTGAAAGAAAGAGAACGTTCCAGCTGCCTCTACCCCAGGCTTAAAGGCTCCGGAGTGCCAGTGGATTCATCACTCGTGGAGAGGCGGAGCCAAATGACCCACTAAAGTGGAGATATTAGCAACACTGTCCGCAGAAACTGCTGACGTCCCTGGTCCTGTGGCCGTATGTCACACCGCTCAGGTGTCCGGTGGCCTGGGCTAATGCTTTCCATCCGTCAGCTGAGAGCGCTGTGGGTGGATGCGTTTCTCACGAATGCGCTGGGGCTTCTGCCTCAACACTGGCAGACAGACTTTTACGGGAGTTGTGTGTGTGGCGGGTGTGTATCTAGTCTTCTCTGGTGGACTCTACTCTTGCCTGACTAGCTCAGGGGTGAGAACCAACTGTGTTGAAACTCATAAGTCTGTCCCCTCCCTGTCAGGCGTTTGGAGCAAGACACAGGTAGGTTTGTGTCAGATGTGTGACCTTAGGCAAATTAATTAATTAACCTCTCTGAGTCTCAAATTCTGTCCTCTATAAAATGAGGTATGGCCAGGCACAGGCCTGTAATTCCAGGTTTTTGGGAGGCCAAGGTGGGCACATCGTATGAGTCCAGGAGTTTGAGGCCAGCCCAGGCAACATGGCAAAACCTCATCTCTACAAAAAAAAAATACAAACAATTAGCCAGGCATGGTGGTGCCTGCCTATAGTCCCAGCTACTTGGAGGTTGAGGTGGGAGGATCAGTTGTGCCCAGGAGGTAGAGGCTGCAGTAAGCTGAGACTGTGCCACTGCACACAAGCCTAGGTGACAGAGTGAGACCCTATCTCTTAAAAAAAAAAAAAAAAAAAAAAAAAAAAAAGGGATGCAATGATGCCCACTTACTTTGTAGGAGTTTTTGGAGGACTGAATACCAGGATGACGTTAGCAATCAAGTTATGGTGTTAGGCCAGGCGCCATGTAATCCCAGCACTTTGAAAGGCCAACGCAGTGGATCACAAGGTCAAGAGATCGAGACCATCCTGGCCAACATGGTGAAACCCTGTCTCTACTAAAAAATATAAAAATTAGCTGGGTATGGTGGCAGGCGCCTGTAGTCCCAGCTACTCGGGAGGCTGAGGCAGGAGAATCACTTGAACTTGGGAGCCAGAGGTTGCAGTGAGCCGAGATTGAACCACTGCAGTCCAACCTGGCAACAGAGCAAGACTCTGTCTCACAAAAAACAACAAAAGTTACAGTGGTGAAGGGCATGGGGTTAGGGCAGCACCTCAAGATGCCAGCCACAGCCGGCCACACACCGGTGTGACTGACCCTGCCAGCTGCCCTTCAAGATCATTTCTCCCCTTCTCTCTCAGAAGCAGCTCCCATTTCTTAGCAGGGCTTGGTGGCTGCTAATAGAGATGACATCTCCTGGGAAAGGGGAGGGGCCTTCCAGGTGGAGGGAACAGTGCCTGCAAAGCCTTCCAAGCTCCTCTCTCCCGAGGCCCTCTCCCAGGACCCTAGGGCTTCCCTCTTCTTCTGGGTTTCATCTGCTGAGACCCTACACATTTTTGCATTTCCTTGGGATTTGTTGCCAGGCAGAGATGGGGGAAACCAGGTCCCCCTAATTAAGCTCTGTGACATTAACAATCCACTTCCCAGGCCTCCGGGTGGGGGGTGGCAGCCTCTCTGGGGTGCTGTTGACAGGTCCAGACCCAGGACTTTGGCAGCTGTTTCTTTTCCAAGAACAGAGATGTGGCCACCAGAACCCCCTGCCCTCTCCTCACGGGCCCGAGATCACAAATGCAGGATTTTCTTTTTCATTAGCTTAATGCTGTCTTTATTAACTGGGAAGGGTTCCTGGAACATATGATCAGTAAGTATTAAATAAAACACACCCACGTGCACTGGCCCCCCACCAGCCTGCCCCGCCGGAGCGACTCTGGGCTCCCAAGCAGTTGTTCCAGAAACAGTCCAGGGCTACCAGGGGCGGCAGCCAGAGGCAGAGAGGGGGATTTGTAGAAGGAAATTACTCAGGATGCTTCTGCGATTTGCAGATGGAATGGACCGCAGAGCAAGGAGCCTGGGAAGGAGGACCCAGCCAGCCACGGGGAGGGGAGGAAATCACGGAAAGAGCCCTTGAAGACCATGATGGGTGCTCACAAGAGCAGGAAAACGCAGTCTGAGAGGCGGAAGAAGTACCTTTTTCGCTCCTTGCTCCTCTTCCACACCATCACCGATCACCACATAGACAGCTTTTCTGCCGAATCTCTGCATTATCCTCTCGAAGCAGCTCTCCTTCCCTGCACGCACACAGGAAAGAAAGAAAAAGGGCTCGGTGAGGACCCAGGACTGCAGCCAATACCCGCTCATTAAGAGCTGGCCGCCTGCAGCCGTGCTCCCAAGGGTCCGGTATGACTCATCTCGTGCTTGCGCAGCCTTCTCAGGTGAGCACTGTTACCATTCCCAGGTAAGGATGATGACAGCTGGAAACACAGCGAGGGCCAGCAGCTTGCCCAGCGCCACACAGCAGGAGGAGGCAGCGCAGGGGTTACAGCAGGCTCCGGAGCACCTGCAGCTGCCTGATGGAGGAGTGGCAATGGATACGCACCATTTGAACGCGCTTAATGTCATGTGCTGGACACTTTTTTTTTTTTTTTGAGACACAGTCTCCTCTATCGCCAGGCTGGAGTGCAGTGGTGTGATCCCGGCTCACTGCAACTTCTGTTTTCCAGTTTCAAGCAATTCTTCTGCCTCAGCCTCCCGAGTAGCTGGGACTATAGGCACGCACTGCCAGGCCCGGCTAATTTTTTGTACTTTTTAGTAGGGACGGGGTTTCACCATGTTGGCCAGGATGATCTGGATCTCTTGACTTTGTGATCCGCCCCCCTCGGCCTCCCAAAGTGCTGGGATTACAGGCGTGAGCCACCACGCCCAGCCTGTTTTTTGAGACACAGTCTTGCTCTGTTGCCCAGGCTGGAGTGCTTTGGTGCCATCTCAGCTCACTGTAACCTCCACTTCCCAGGCTCAAGTGATTCTCCTGCCTCGGCCTCCTGAGTAGCTGGGACCACAGGCATGTGCCACCATACCTGGCTAATTTTTGTACTTTTTAGTAGAGACAGAGTTTCACCATGTTGGCCAGGCTGGTTTCAAACTCCTGACCTCAGTGATCTGCCTGCCTTGGCTTCCCAAAGTGCTGGGATTATAGGCATGAGCCACCGCGCCCAGCCATCTTAACCATTTTTAAGTGTATAGTGCATGGCCTGAATTACTATAATTTTAAAGTCAAAAGGCACTTTTATATAGTGTTTGGGCATAGAACTTCAGTAAAACCAAAACTGCTCTAAGAAAATGCTGCCAAAGTACTGTGTTAATTTTCTTCTGCTTTAGAGAAAAAAAAAATGGAAAAAGCTTCTAATTAAAAATATCTTGGCATGGTGGCTCATGCCTGTAATCACAGCCCTTTGGGAGGCTGAGGTGGGAGGACTGCCTGAGGCTAGGAGTTTGAGGCTGTAGTGATCTTGCCACTGCACTCCAGACTGAGTGACAGCATGAGACCCTGTCTGAAAAAAAGAATCTTAACTAGATTTATTTTGTATTATTATACATTCTTAGTGATATAAGAATGAAAAAAATCAGCCCCTTGAAGAAAACCAATTATTTATCACCATGAAAAGATAACTGATGATAAACAAATGACGCTATTAATTTCCAGTTATTAAATTCTCTTACCTGATGAAAACTCTGAGCCTCGACTTGTTCTCTTTGTGAATAGGAAGATTAGCAGGTTTACAGAGCTGTTAAAGACAGGCTAGCACTAAATTAAGACTCTCTCCTTGAAAGAGAATTAAGAAAGATCATGCTTTTCTCTCTGTGGTTCCAGGTCTAATTCAAAGTTATTTGATGAACAAGGTTGTTTGATGTACCACCTAAGTTACAATCATCTCATGTACCATGCTGTAGTGGGAACTGTTTTGCTTCCTTAGTGATAGAATTCCATGAGCTGGGTGTATCATCACTGAGCTATGGACTACATTTCCCAGCTTCCCTGGCAGCTCCTTGTGGCCATGTGACTAAACTGTGGCTGACAGAAGGTGAGCAGAATGTAATGTGCATAGCTTTTGAGGTTGGCCTTCAAATATCAGACCCGCTAGAATGACCATGTGCTGGAACTCTGATTTGACCCCATACATGAGAATAAAACCATAAGAGATGGTGGAAAAATAAAATGGGAGAGACCTGGGTTTCTGGATGACTTTGAGGTCAGGGTGACTCCACCAGCCTGGATCACCTACCTCTGTTCTGTTCTATGAGGGAGAAATCAGCTTTGGCTCTTTTTGCTAGCCCTTGCATTTTGGGGTGTGTTTGTTACAGCAGCTGTGCCTATATCTGCACTCATACAGACACTCTGGAAAACTGTGGTCCTAACCAATGTCTTTAGACGCAGAGGTCAAGGCATGTGGTCTATGAGGGCTTCTTTGGGGATGTGAGTCATGGCCATGGGCAAATTCCATCAACTTCCCCAGGGAAGGAAACCTTAAGCATCCCATTCCCAGGATGGAAAGCTAACCCTGCCCGCCATCCCTGCATCCCTGCTCCCCACCGCGATCTGGCTTCTCCCTACCTGTCTTGGTTGCACTGTAGATGTTCTCAATAGGAAACACAGACCCCAGTCCATATAGCAGGACTTTGGCCAGGGCAGGAATTAGTTGAGTGGTGGTGACCAGCACATTGACACAGTTGGGCCTAAGGACAAAGGAGACTGTGGATTAGAACTCAGAAGGACCACAAGGCCAGGCCTCCTCCCACTGCATGAGCCTGGAGTTGGCCGGAAATCTGGTAGGCTTGGAGGCTGTGGCTGTCATCTTCATGGTTCGGGCCCAGGGATTCTCCAACTGTTCCTCTCTTTTAAGCCTGAAGCTGCCTGACAGAGTGAATTGTAGTATGGGGGGAATACTTTTCTTATTCAAAAAAGCAAATGTTTAGGCGGGGCATGGTGGCTCATGCCTGTAATCTGAGCACTTTGGGAGGCCAAGGCGGGTGGAACATGAGGTCAGGAGTTTGAGACTGGCATGACCAACATGGTGAAACTCCGTCTCTGCTAAAAATACAAAAATTAGCTGGATATAGTGGCAGGCGCCCGTAATCCCAGCTACTCGGGAGGCTGAGGCAGGAGAATTGCTTGAACTGGGAGGTAGAGGTTGCAGCAAGCCGAGATCGCGCTACTGCACTCTGGCCTGGGCGACAGAGCGAGACTCCGTCTTAAAAAAAAAAAAAAACAAAAAAAAACCCAAATGTTTATTGCAAGGGCCATATATTTAAATAGTTGCAGGTAATGTAAATGAGCAATATGGAACAATTGTAGGACAATAGGGAGAGGTGGGGCCTGGGGTAAGCTGGAGCCTGGATGCCAGTTCTTATCCTTTGAGAGAATCCAGAAACCTGGAAACCTGTTGGGTCCCAAAAAGTCTCTGCAGCTGTTAGCTCAGCTGTGAACAGGGTATCCACTGAGTTGTGCACTTAGGCTTTATTAAATATTTGGGCTGGGCACGGTGGCTCACGCCTGTAATTCCAGCACACTTTGGGAGGCCAAGATGGGTGGATCACCTGAGGTCAGGAGTTCAAGACCAGCCTGGTTAACATGGTGAAACCCCATCTCTATTAAAAATACAAAAATTAGCTGGGCATGGTGGTGGGCACCTGTAATCCCAGCTACTCAGGAGGCTGAGGCAGGAGAATCACCTGAACCTGGGAGTGAGAGGTTGTGGTGAGCTGAGATCATGCCACTGCACTCCAGCCTGGGTGATAGAGTGGGACTCTGTCTCAAAAAAGAAAATTTTGGAAAATTTGCAAGTGAGAATTTGAGGCGTCCTATTCTCCCAAGTGTGGAGCCAACACTGCTTACTGGGAGAAAGTTCAGTGGCACAGAGGAAAATGGGGCTGCCACTTGCCGGGAGTTGATGAGGTTTAGCGCCTTCAAGGAGTGGGTCAGCCAGAGGTCTGTGAGAGCTTCTAGCTCGGCTCGGAGCTGTAGCCAGGTCTCCCTTTTGGGAGCTCCTATCAATCCTGTGGACAAAGGAAATAAAGATGTAGTCATCATATTAGAAAGATCTGGGGGATGAAGGTAGGGAACAGGAGTCTAGTTACTGTACCCTGAGGGTTAAAATCCGATGCCACCCAAAATAAACTTCAGTCCAGCAGCTTCTCTTAATCTTATCCTGAGATCAGCAGATTGATCCATTCACTGAGTGATCCACCCACTCATCCATCTATCCATCCATCCATCCACCAACCCAATATCCATCCATTCATCCATCCATCCACCCACCCACCTATTTACCCATCCATCCACCCGATATCCATCCAGCCATCCATCCATCCACCTATCCCCCCATCCATCTACCTACCCACCTAACCACCCATCCATCTACCCAATATCCATCTATCCATTCATCTACCCACCCAGCTATCTACCCATCCATCCATCCACCCAATATACATCCATCCATCCACCTATCCACCCATCCATCCATCCAATATCCATCCATCCACCCATCTACCCAATATCCATCTATCTACTCATCCATCCATCTACCCACCCACCTATCTACCCGTCCATCCATCTACCCAATATCCATCCATTCATCCATCCATCTACCCACCCACCTATCTACCCATCCATCCATCCACCCAATATCCATCCATCTACCCAATATCCATCTATTCATTCATCTATCCATCTACCCACCCACCTATCTACTCATCCATCCATCCACCCAATATCCATCCATCCATCCACCCATCCACCTACCCACCCACCTATCTACTCATCCATCCATCCACCCAATATCCATCCATCCATCCACCCATCCACCCAATATCCATCTGTCCATTCATCCATCCATCTACCTACCCACCTATCTACCCATCCATCCATCCACCCAGTATCCATCCATCCATCCATCCACCCACCCACCTATCCCCCCATCCATCTACCTACCCACCTATCCACCCATCTATCCACCTAATATCCATCCATCCATCCATCCATGCACCTATCCACCAAATATCCATCCATCCATCCATCCATCCACCCACCCACCTATCCACCCATCCATCCACCCAATCATCCATCCATCCATCCATCCACCCAACTACCCACCCATCCACCCCGCCTTCCATCCATCTATGCATCCAACAACAAATTCAGGAGTGTCTTCTAGGTGCTTGATATTGTAATAGGCACTGAATACACAGATATGAACAAAAATATGCAGATTATAGAGCTTATATTGTTATGGTGGAGTCAGGGAATTAATAATAAAATAAAAAAATAATGATGAACATTTCTGAGTGCTTATTATGTGCAGGGCTCTGCTTTTAACACGATTTATTTCATTCTCACAATGACCCTAGAGGTGGACACCATTTTTATTTCTGTTTTTTTTTAGGTGAAGAAACAGGCTTTGTGATGTTGACTGACTTGCTCACCATAGGGGGAAAATAATGGGTAAAGGTCGGGCACCAGGCAGCTGACTTCCAGAGCCACCCTGTGGGTATTTCTCAGCCTGCTATTCTGTCAGCCTTCAGTAGCTTTAAGATACAGTTCAAAGCCCCCAGCAGCATGATCCTGGCTCTGCTGAGTCTCATCTCCCCACTGTCTTTCCATTGTAGCCCCGGAGGCCTCTTGTTGGTTTCCTGAAACACCAAGTGAGCTCCTGCCCCAGTACCTTTGCATACCTCATTTCAGAACCTGGACCACTCTTCTTATCCCATATCCAGCTTTTGCCTGGTTAAATCCCTCACACTCTGCATTTAGGCCTCGTCTTTTTTTTTTTTTTTTTTAGACAAAGTCTTGCTCTGTCACCCAGGCTGGAGTGCAGTGGTATGATCATGGCTCATTGCAGCCTCAGTCTCCTAGGCTCAAGCAATCCTGCACGCTTCCCACCTTAGCCTCCTGAGTAGCTGGAACTCCAGGTGCCTGCCACCATGTCTGGCTAATTTTTGTATGTTTCATAGAGGTAGAGTCTTGCTATGTTGCCCAAACTGGTCTTGAACTCCTGGCCTCAAGCAATCCTCCCTTGGCATCCCAAAGTGCTGGAATTACAGGCATGAGCCTTCGCATCCTGCCTCGAGGCCTCATCTCAAATGCCGTTTATTCTGGAAGGTCTAACCTGATCTCTGCAGGCTGGGGCAGGTCTCTCTAGTTTATATTCTCCCAACACACAGTAGCTCTTCTTCAAAGCACTTCTCACAACTAGAATTTTAAGCGTATCTATGTGAAAATGTGTTTCGCATCTGCCTTGGCCATTAAGCTGTTCACTTTATGAGGGCAGGAACCAAGTCGGGCCTGTTCTGTAGCTGGGGCTGGCCTGTGCTTGGTGCCGAATCAGTATTTGCTGAAGGAAGAATGAATTCATTAGGACCAAATGCTGCCTGAGCCTGTGGTATTCAGACATTATCTTCTGTAAATAGAAGATCTCCGTGTCCAAACTCCTCCCTGTGGGCTGCAAGGCCCTACGTCATCTGGACACTGCCAGCTCTGTCACCCCGTCCTTGACCACGTGCTCCCTCGCTCCAGCCACGCTGGCTTTCTTTATCTTTCTGAAAAGTGTCACACTCCTTTGGTCTCAGAGACTTCTCATTTGCTGTTTGTGGCAGACACTGTTAGTTGCCATCCACTATCCATTTTTCTCACTTGTAATTAGTAAAAATATAAATACAAAAGGATCTTCTCATGAGTAGTAAGAATTCGGATTTTAGTTGGGTGAGGTGGCTCATGCCTATAACCCCAGCACTTTGGGAGGCTGAGGTGGGAGGATTGCTTGAGCCAGGAGTTTGAGACCAGCCTGGGCAAGACAGGAAGACCTTGTCTCTTCAAAAAATTAAAAAATTAACCAGGCATGGTAGCTTGTGCCTGTGGTACTAGTTACTCTGGAGGCTGAGGAGGATTGCTTCAGCCTCAGAAGTCGAGGCTGCAGTGAGCTGAGATCGTGCCACTGCACTCTAGCCTGAGAAAGAGAACAAGACCCAGTCTCAAAAAATAAATAAGTAAAAAGATAGAAGGGGCCGGGCGCGGTGGCTCATGCCTATAATCCCAGCACTTTGGGAGGCTAAGGCAGGTGGATCACTTGAGCTCAGGAGTTTGAGACCAGCCTGGTCAACATGGTAAAAACCTGACTCTACTAAAAATACAAAAATCAGCCGGGCATGGTGGCATGCTTCCGTAATCCCAGCTACTCGGGAGGCTGAGGCAGGGGAATCATTTGAACCCGGGAGGTGGAGGTTGCAGTGAGCCAAGATGGCACCATCGCACTCCAGCCTAGGTGACAAAGCAAGACTCTTGTCTCATAAAAAAAAAAAAAAAAAAAAGAATTTAAGTACTTTGCTCACTTGTTGATGGTCTGTTTTCTCCACCCATTGAATATAAACTTAGGAAACAGGGACCTTGTTTCTTTTGTTCACCGCTGAATCCACAACCTAGGCCTTTGATGATGGACACATGGACGAATGAATGAATGAATGAATGAATGAATGAATGAATCTTCATACTGCTACATGTCCCATCTTCGCATTAGTCTATAAACTCTTGAAGAACACATGACCTCTGGTTTTCCTCTCTCTCTGCACCTTCCCCAGAGACCCTTAGCTGGAACCCTCAGTAACAATACAAACTCACAAGAACTCAGCACTTTTCAATTGACAAAGGGCTTCCCACGGGCTGTCTTGTGTAGCTGACTGCCCAACCACCTGACTTTGCTCCATGCCAGGAGACATGCTTCAGGCTGTTTCCTCGGCTTTTTCCTCCAGGCTTGGCCTCCTTCCCACCTTCCCCAGGTAACCACAGCGCCACTTAAGAAGAGTTTATGTGTGTCAGATGCCGTTCTGAGCACCTTCCTGTGTGAATTCCCAATGTCCTGGCATGAATCCTAGAAGCTGGGCAGCATCAGTGGCCCCATTTTACACACGAGGAGGAAACTGAGGCACAAGGAGGTCAAATAACCTGCTCAGGGCTACACAGGAAGTGGTAGAGGGAGGAATGACATCAACGCAAGGCCCCTGATTCCAACCCCTGTCTTCTAGGTTACTAAGTATTTTCTCTAGCCTGTATTTTGCAGAAGTCTTTCTTCTAAGCGCACTTTTTTTTTTTTTTCTGAGACAGAGTCTCGCTGTGTCACCGAGGCTGGAGTTCAATGGTGTGATCTCAGCTCACTGCAACCTACGCCTCCCAGGTTCAAGCAATTCTCTGCCTCAGCCTCCCAAGTAGCTGGGACTACAGGCATGTGCCACTACGCCTGGCTAATTTTTGTATTTTTTAGTAGAGATGGAGTTTCACCATCTTGGCCAGGCTGGTCTTGAACTACTGACCTTGTGATTCACCCGCCTCAGCCTTCCAAAGTGGTGGGGTTACAGGCGTGTGTCACTGTGCCCAGCCTACCTCCTAAAACACTTGGAATTGTGGGAATCTGTGGTAATCCCCAGGCTGGAAGCCGCGGCCATGCATCTGGCTAGGTCTGTGATGCAGGAACAGCTGGGGAGGGGAAGGGGACCGGCATGCCACCAGCTGTGGACTCCTCATGAGCTGACAGCTCGGGTGATCTCCCCTCAGCTATGGGCAAGCAAAGCAGTCTGACAAAGCCCCAGCATTTCCCAGTCCTTAACCTGGATGGAGAGCAGATGCTCTCTGTTGGCCAACTCCATCCCTGTCTCCCCTGAGCAAGCCCTCCTGCTACCCTCCTCCGTCCGTGCAGGGTTGGGTATGCAGGCAGCACCCAACCTGCCAAGAGCTTGTTGCTTCACTCCTGCAATCAACACACTTGCATCCGAGAGGCCACCAAGTGTGGCCCTGAAGGGCAGAGGTGCTGGAGTCACCCTGGGACTCCACTGTGGCTCTTCTGCCTGGGCTGTGTGACGCTGGGCAGGATACTTAACCTCTGTAGTGTCAGTTTCCGCTTTGAGCAACACAGATGATAAAAACATTTACCTTACAGGGATGCTGTGAAGAGTAAAGGAGCTATGCCTTGACAACAGTGGCAAAACTGGCAGAGTAAGTGCTCCATAAATCCTAGCTACTGCCAGGAGTGTGCTTGGCACATGGGCTGGATTAGAACCGTAGCCACGAACACGATGGAAAGTCTGTCCCAAAGAACTGATGGGAAAGCTACCAGAGAAAGTGGAAGACATGGAACCTGAGGCTCCTAAGCAAAACTGAGAGGAACTAGTGACAAATGCCACCATGTACTGAGTGCCTGCTGTATACCAGGCACAGAGTCATGCCTTTTGTATGCATTAACAAAAAACCTCTCAATAATCCAGGGAAGCAGAAGTATTTGTACTCTTCATTTCACAGATCTAGAGACTGAGGCACAGAAAGATGACCGTACGTATGTTGCCTAAGGCCACGTAGCTAGAAAGTGGCAGAGCTGGGACTGGAAGTGGGTTCCGTCCAGTTTGAGAAGTGGGACTCTACTCTTTCTAGAAGCGGAGGGAAGGGGCACCAGAAGCTTTTGGGGCCAGTGTGTATCTTGCAGACACTATTAGCCACCTACTCACTCAAACCCTTCCCTTATGGGCTAGTGGTTGGTTCTAGGCATGGTGACAACCAGGAAGACTCCCAGATGTCTCCTGCAGAGGGCGCGGTATCACCCCCAGCTAAAAACCTCTGGATTTAGGTCTAGAGAACTCCAGAATTCTCTAGACCACAGCTGAGCCAGCCTTGCCTCTAGTGCCTTCAGACCTCTTGTTTGGGGCAATGAATGATTGGTCCCAGGTTCCTGAAGCTGGCGGGGGAGGGGGTGGTCTCTCCTGGTTGCACGCATTAGAATCACCCAAAGACCTTTACGGCTCCTCATGCCCAGGCTGCAGCGAGACCAGGACAGAAACAGAAACTCCTTGGCTGGTTCCAATGAGAGCCAAGTGTGAGAACCAGTGACTTCGGGGCCTTCTTCAACTTTAATGCCTCCACAGTCGCCTGGCGGGCTTGTTAAAAATGCAGATTCTGGGCCAGACAGGTGGTACGTGCCTCTAATCCCAGCTACTTTGGAGGCTGAGGTGGGAGGATCACTTGAGGCCAGGAGTAGTTTGAGGCCAGCCTGGGCAGCATAGCAAGACCTTGTCTCTTTTTTCTTTTTTTCCTTTTTCTTTTTTCTGTTTTTACATCCTAAGATATTAATTCACTGAGACCTTGTCTCAAAAAAAAAAAAAAATTAAAAGCAGATTCTGAATCAGTTGCCCAGGATAGGTCCTGAGACCCTGTGCTTCTTTTTTTTTTTTGAGACAAGGTCTTGCTTTGTCACCCAGGCTGGGGCGCAGTGGTGTAATCTCTCGGGTCACTGCAGCTTCTGCTTCCTGGAAACCCTGACCTTTTTTTTTTTAGAGACGGGGTTTCACACCATGCTGGCCAGGATGGTCTTGACCTCCCAATCTTGTGATCCGCCCGCCGCGGCCTCCCAAAGTGCTGGGATTATAGGCGTGAGCCACCGAGCCCGGCCTAAGACCCTGAACTTCTAATCAGCTCCAGGGGGATGCTGTGGTCGGTCTGTGGACAATAATCTGAGCTGCAAAGACTCATGGCATGGATCCCCCGCCTCCGATTCCAAGGGGGATTCTGGAATTCCAGAATTTGAGAAGGATTCCAGGGCTGTGAAAACACAGATTCTGGGCCCCAGCGCAGAGTTTCAGATTTGATAGGCCAGGGCCAGAGGAGCCACATTTCCAACACACCCGCAGGTGATGCTCTTGCTGGGGTTGGAGGGCCACGCTGTGAGAGCCTCTGGCTGTGGGTAAGAGAATGCCACCCCCACGTCCACCCCCCACCATTTGTGGCCTGAAGAATCTTGGATCAGACACAGCTTTCCCACCCCTCAGCTTTCCCACCCCCAAAGTGAAGGTGACAAAATACCAGTGACCTATTCTGAAGGGTGTCATGAGGGTTGCATCAAGTGGGCTGGCACTGAACTTGTGAATCTCTCCAACTGGCACCTTGGCACAGCAGGGACAGAATGGGCAGCATCCCACCCGATGAGCTTCCCTTCCTCGGGGGCCCAAGGCCCACAGTACTCACCGCCAACGTTGTTCTTGTAGGTATTGTACATCTCCTTCACCCGCCGGTAGCGGAAGGCCAGCTTCCTCATCCAGTCCACGCCGCCGTGGACGCCAGAGCCCAGGCACAGGTTGGCTCCTGGGGCTGAACTGTGGAAGCCGTCAGCGGAGAAGTTGTATGTGCTGCGAAGAGAAGAGGGAAGGGACCGTGTTAGTGTGGGGGTGCCGGGGATCGTCAGTGGGAGACCGCAGGCTCTGTGGGACCCACGGGTGGGCTTTCGGGTGTCCATGAGCCCCTCGAGGTGCACAGGGTGCTTGGAGTGTGCATTTGGGGACAACAGGACCACAGCTTTTATTAGCTTCCTCGAGAAGGGTATGGTGTCTTTTGCTCTTACTTGATCTGCATCCATTTGCCTGTCTTTTTTTAATTTTAATTTTTATTTCTTTTGATACAGAGTCTTACTCTGTCTCCAGGCTGGAGTGCCGTGGCGCGATCTTGGCTCCCTACAACTTTCGCCTCGCAGGTTCAAGCGATTCTCCTGCCTCAGCCTTCTGAGTAGCTGGGACTATAGGTGTGTGCCACCACGTCTGGCTAATTTTGTATTTATAGTAGAGACAGGGTTTCACCATGTTGGCCAGAATAGTCTCTATCTCTTGACCTCATGATCTGCCTGCCTCAGCCTCCCAAAGTGCTGGGATTACAGGTGTGAGCCACCGTGCCCGGTCAATTCTTAGTATTGAGGGTATTGCTCTGTTGCCCAGGTTGGAGTGCAGTAGTGTCATCACAGCTCACTGCAGCCTCAACCTTCCAGCTCAAGGGATCTCCTACCTCAGCGTTTTGAGGAGCTGGGACCACAGGCATGCGCTGCCACACTTGGCCAGCTTATTTTTATTTTTGCAGAGACGGGGTCTCAGCCTCCTGAACAGCTGGGATTACAGGCGTGCATCACCGCACCCTGTATTTTTAGTAGAGATGGAGTTTCTCCATGTTGGTCAAGCTGGTCTCGAACTTCTCACCTCAGGCGATCCGCCCACCTTGAACTCCTAGTCTTGAACTCCCAGTCTTGAACTCCTAGGCTCAAGGGATCCTCCCACTTTGGCTTCCTTAAGTGCTGGGATTATAGGCATGCACCACTGCACCTGCCCCCTTATTTTGACTTTTTATTTGCTTTTATTTTTTATTTTTGAGATGGAGTTTCACTCTGTTGCCTAGGCTGGAGTGCAGTGGTGCAATCTCAGCTCACTGCAACTTCCGCCTCCTGGGTTTAAGTGATTCTCCTGCCTCAGCCTCCTGAGTAGCTGGGATTACAGGCGCTGGCCATCATGCCCATAAGGCACCGGCTAGTTTTTGTATTTTTGTAGAGACGGGGTTTTACCACGTTGGCCAGGCTGATTTTGAACTCCTGACCTCAGGTCATCTGCCGCCACGGCCTCCCGAACTGCTGGGATTACAGGCGTGAGCCACTGTGCCCGGCCTTGACTTTTTATTTGTGAAGTTAGGCAGAGTCAGTTGCCTTACTGGCTGGTGCTTCATGGATATAAGCCTGGACCCCGAAAGAAGCACGCTGGGCTACAGAGATCCACAGTGGCCAGGGGCATTTCAGAAGCGACACAAAATGAGTTGCAAAAATGGCAGCTGGGAACCAAAGGGGAGAGGTATCTCACCACCTACAGCAGCTGGAGCTTGAGACTGAAAAAAAGAAACCCACGCTTCCCAGAGAACACCGTTTTCCATCCTTCTATGGAAGCCTGGAAAATCCCAGGATTTTATCATAACAGTTATAATAGAGCATCACAGTACAAACCAGGGTCCCACAAGCTGTGGATGTGCAGTGCCATCAAAAGCTTCTGGGACAAACATGAACGTGTCTTTAAAGAACATTGGTGGGAAATGCATCAGTGTGGTGCTGTGGCTGTCTTAGGGTGTGAGTGTGGCTGATTTTTTTTCTCTGTACTATTAAACTGTTTCTGTGTTTTCTCGAACGAGTTTAAGAGTAGAAAAAGGCGCGGTGGCTCACCCCTGTAATCTCAGCACTTTGGGAGGCCGAGGTGGGCGGATCACCTGAGGTGAGAAGTTCGAGACCAGCTTGACCAACATGGAGAAACTCCATCTCTACTAAAAATACAGGGTGTGGTGACGCACGCCTGTAATCCCAGCTGTTCAGGAGGCTGAGACAGGAGAATCGCTTGAACCAGGGAGGTGGAGGTTGCGGTGAGCTGAGATTGCGCTGCTGCACTCCAGCCTGGGCAACAAGAGGGAAACTCCATCTCAAAAAAAAAAAAAAAAAGAATAGAAAAAGAAATTTTATTTGTTTAAGAGATGAGAAGCAGCAGGACTGAAGTAACAGTTGGAAATTGCATGTTAAGTAGCTCCAGTGTAATGTCCCTGCTGTAGCCGAGATGAGGAAGGACAGGGTGAAGCTGTGTCTTTCCCCTGTGGAGTGGGGGGTGTGCTGAGTGTCAGCACACAGCAAGAGGTGACACGCTGTCCCTCACTTACTATTCTGTGGCTGGGGCCTAGCCTGACTCTGAGTGGAGACCAAGCCTTGCGGCCCGGATATAAAACTCTTTCCAGGGAAGAGGCTTTGGTGGTGCCAACACCCCCATCCCTACAGGGTCTGCAGAGTGACCTTGGGTGATGCCTCAAACTCAACAGCACATTTTACCGTGGGGGCTGCCTGCCCCAGGCAGCCCAGGAGGACGCAGACCCAGGTGACTTAATCAAATGTAGGCCCTGGTGTTCTCTGCAGAGCAGGCTGTGTGGACAATCACAGGGAAATACCCACAGGGCTGGCGGAAGTTACTTTTTTTTAGACAGAGTCTTGCTCTGTAGCCCAGGCTGGAGTGTAGTGGCATGATCTTGGTTCACTGCAACCTCTACTTCCCGAGTTTAAGCAATTCTTGTGCCTCAGCCTCCCAAGTAGGTGGGATTATAGGCACGTGCCACCATGGCCAGCTAATTTTTTGTATTTTTAGTAAAGTTGGGGTTTTGCCATGTTGACCAGGATGGTCTCGAACTCCTGACCTCAAGTGATCTGCCCACCTCAGCCTCCCAAAGCGCTGGGATTACAGGCGCCTGCCACCACGCCTGGCTAATTTTTCTATTTTTAGTAGAGACAGGGTTTTGCCATGTTGACCAGGCTGGTCTCGAACTCCTGACCTCAGGTGATCCACCTGCCTTGGCCTCCCAAAGAGCTGCGATTACAGGTGTGAGCCACCGCGCCTGGCCCTTTCTGCTTTTTCCTAAGTCACCCAGGATGTCTTCCAGGTTCTCCTCCTAGGTAAGTGAAGTGGGTGGGGATGTGTGGGTTGCAATGCACTGGCCTGCCGCTTTCCATTGGCATGTACGTGTGAGTGCAGATAAAATCAGCAGCAAGTAAATAATAATGCTGGACAGCGGTTACTTGGAGACAGTAGGAATATGGGTGATTACAGTTTTTTTCTCTGTTCCTCACTGAATTACTAAAAAATTTACAAGACCCTTAGAGAATACGATATGACTATTCAAACATCTTGTTTGCACAAACACTTCCCCTTCCCCAAGAAGACTGCAGTGGGTTTATCACACAGGTGTTGTTTCTTCTCCTTCTCAGCTTTCCCTTGGTGGGTGAGCACAGGCTAAAGATAAATGAAATATATCCAACTGGGGTACTTTTCCAGCACATTCTAAACCCGATGAGGAAGGGGCTATGACTCTACCCCGTTGCAGCCTTGGCTCTGGAACCTCACTTTTAACTGCCATGCGGTCCTTCTGGCCCAGTGGGGAAGTTTCCATCTTGCTAGATTTATTCTTAGTTTTTTTTTTTTCTTTTGAGATGGGGTCTCGCTCTGTTGCCCAGGCTGGAGTGCAGTGGCACAATGTTGGCTCACTACAGCCTCTGCCTCCTGGGTTCAACCAATTCTCCTGCCTCAGCCTACCAAGTAGCTGAGACGACAGGCGCATGCCACCATGCCTGGCTAATTTTTTGTATTTTAAGGTAGAGATGGGGTTTTACTGTGTTAGCCAGGATGGTCTTGATCTTCTGACTGCGTGATCTGCCAAAGTGCTGGGATTACCGGCGTGAGCTGCTGCGCCCAGCCGATTTATTCTTTTATTTTTTGGGAGAGTCTTACTCTGTAACCCAGGCTGGAGTAGTGGTGTGATCTCAGCTCACTGCAACCTCTGCCTCCCGGGTTCAAGTGATTCTTATGCCTCAGCCTCCTGAGTAGCTGGGATTACAGGGGCACACCACCACACCCAGTTTTTTGTATGTTTAGTAGAGACGGGGTTTCACCATGTTGGCTGGGCTGGTCGTGAACCCCTAACCTCAGGTGATCTGCCCACCTCAGCCTCCCAAGGCTGATTATAGGTTGGGATTACAGGTGTCAGCCACTGCGCCCAGCCATAGATTTATTCTTAAAAAAGTGAACACTGACCATTAACTCAGATGCTACCATGGGGAGATGTCTGGATGTTAAGAGATGGAGGCCCTTGGGGAGGGAGGGCAGGATCCAGAGTCCAGGATGGACAGGGGATCTGTGAAGAGCTTGTGTCCTAGAGCCAGGTTGCTTGGATTTGAATTCTGCCTTCCCCGCTGACTGGCCATGTGAGTTTGGGCAGATTGCTGAATCTCTCTATGCCTCACATTCCCCAGCCATAAAATGGGGATGAGGATAAAAGCATCTCCATCCCAGGGTCACTGTGCACATGCGATGAGTTATTCCATGTGATGCATTTGGAATAGAATATGGCACAAAACGAGACCTCTCTGAAGGTTGGTTCTTACTGCTAAATGAGAAAAAAACCAAGAGCCATTTCATGCTTGGGACCTAGCATATAGCAGGCACTCCATATATTCTTGAATGAATAAGTAGAGAATTTGGTCTCTAAAGAAAAAAAACCCAAAACACCCTTGGTCTGAGAATTCTCAAAGTGAGGTACCAAACAGCTCAGCATGAGTGAGGCAGGGTTCAGAGGAATATTGCCCTAAATTCCAAGCCAGCTAGCTACAGGGAAAACTTCATAGAAACAGAACAGCGCTGCTCATGGCCTTGAAAGGAAGAGTGCTTCCCAACGATGACTTCATGGAAAGGACCAATTAACCTTGATCTGGGGTTTATTTATTCCATCCATTGAGAAGTCCTAGCGGGGCTGGAGCCTTGCTCCTTGCCAGTCCTAATTGCAGAAGGGATTTTCCGAATGGATGATTTAAATGAAGCGGGCATCTGCCCGCCGACCACTTCTGATTGTGCTGGGCTTTGGAAAGACTTGCAGGGCTTAGGAACAGAAACTTTGATTTTTGTTTTTGCAGTAAGTTGGGAGACACACCTTGGAAGCAAGTACTAAGTAAAGTTACGATGACTGGTCCCATAACCAAAACATTATTTAGTCTAATAATAGATCTGATGAGCCGAAAGCTGTTGAATTATGGTAATTTTGAATGAGTACAGATTAACTATGGTTCTGTTTTTATAAAGTCTTCCTGGGGGTAGACTGGGAACATTCCAGCCCACATTCCTCTGGAAGCTGTCTCATTTTAAGCAATGGGTTACCTGATTTCTGGAAGCCATGTCCTGGGAGTATTTTCCCCTAGAAACCAGACATACCACTGATTCATTTGAGAAGCGTTTTTTGAGTATTGGCTGTATCAGTCGTTATATTAAAAATATATGCATGCTGGCTGGGCGTGGTGGCTCACGCCTGTAACCCCAGCACTTTGGGAGGCTGAAGCAGGCAGATCACTTGAGGTCAGGAGTTCGAGACCGGCCTGGCCAACATGGTGAAACCCCATCTCCACTAAAAATACAAACAATTAGCCAGGTGTGGTGGTACACGCTTGTAATCCCAGCTACTCAGGAGGCTGACGCAGGAATCACTTGAGCCCGGGAGGTGAAGGTTGCAGTGAGCCGAGATCGAGCCACTGCACTCCAGCCTGGGTAATAAGAGTGAAAGTCTGCCTTAAAATATATAATATTCAGAGGCAGCACCTCCTGACGAAGACTGCTGGAGGAGGAGACGCACTCTGAGCTTGACTACTGAGAAAAATTTGGTTGTAACATCTCTGGACCCTTGACGGGAGGAGAGAAGCTGAAAGAAAGGGTATTTTCAACATTTTGAGCAGATCTTTGAAGAATGTATGCCGGCCGGGCGCGGTGGCTCACGCCTGTAATCCAAGCACTTTGGAGGCCAAGGTGGGTGGATCACCCGAGGTCGGGAGTTCAAGACCAGCCTAACATGGTGAAACCCCGTCTTAAAAAAAAAAAAAAAAAAAATAAGAATGTATACCAAACTCTTCATGGTGGCGATTTTGGGAGGTGAGGTCAGGTTAAAGTGTTTGAATTTTTTCCGTTATGCATGCATTGCTTCAGCGAGCAGGAAAAAGTTGCAACAAGTGAGCAGAGTTTAGTGATTTTAGGTGATGAGGAAGAGGCTGTAGGGTTGAGGGGTGAGGTTGTGATTTTTTGAATAAATTTTTCCTCATTTATTTATTATAGTAGAGATGGGGGTCTCACCATGTTGCTCAGGCTGTTTTGGAACTCCTGAGCTCAAGTGATCCTCCTGCCAAGGCCTCCCAAAGTGCTGGGATTACAGGTGTGAGCCACCACACCCAGCCAGTTGTGGTTTTTGAGTTTGAGATGCACAAGTCCCAGTTCTGGCTGGAGGCAGGCACACCTTGTCCTTATAAGCAGCCCTCCCCTCCCTCCCCTCCCTCCCCACTTCCTAGTAGAAGGAGAACTTGATAATCAATGGGCATTTTTGACTCCCCAGATTCCCACCTTAAATCTTGGCCATTGTCATCTGACGAGACGTCGTCAACGTGGATCTGGTCACAATCCTATGGAAAATGTGACAAGAAGAGAAAGAGAGAGAACGTGCCTGGTTAATCTGATGTAGCCTGTAAGGGTGGGATCATAAGCTGAGGGCTGGGATGAGCACTGCACTGGGAGTCATCAGGCTCTGGTTCTAGTCTGGGTTTGGCCACTCAAGGTTAGAGGTCCTTGGGTTCAATCTCAACCTCTTTTTCTGTTTGGTTTCCTTATAAATGAGCAGTTTGACTGCAAGGAAAGTGACAATACAGTTACTCATCCAAACAGAGGTAGTTTTGCAGTAAAGGGGCTGTTACACTAGGAAGATAGGTACAAACCGGGCCTTCCCTAGCTCCCCGCTTCCCAGGATGGCCAGATATATGGTCACTCTGGCCTCAGGGAAACACTCTGTTTCCCCTGCTTGGAATGCTCTCCTGCCTTCATCTGCTTACTGAACCCTGTGCTTCTCAAGTATTAGCTCCTGGAGTCGCACCTGCTGTGCCCCATGATCTGTGATCATCATTTACTGAGCACTTACTATGTGCCAGGCACCATCCCCAGGGCTTGCCATTCAACAAAGTCCAATGCCATGCTTTTTCCCACTCAATTTCCTTGGGGAAACACCTTTCCCTGTGGGATAAGACCATGGAGTGGAGGCCAGGCTTAGTGGTTCATGCCTGTAATCTCAGCACTTTGGGAGGCTGACGCGGGTGGATTGCTTGATGTCAGGAGTTTGAGATCAGCCTGGCCAACATGGTGAAACCCTGTCTCTGCTAAAATATGAAAATTAGCTGGGTGTGGTGGCAGGTGCCTGTAATCTCAGCTACTTGGGAGGCTGAGGCATGAGAATCACTTGAACCTGGGAGGCGGGAGGCTGCAGTGAGCTGAGATTGCACCACTGCACTCCAGCCTGGGTGACAGAGTGAGACGCTTTCTTTAAAAAAAAAAAATAAATAAAAAAAAAAATAAACCAACAAGTGAAAAAACCGCTTCTCCTCTCAGAGCCTCCAGAAGGAACCCCAGTGACACTGATTGGGACTTCTGACTTCCAGAACTGTACGAGGCCACATATGTGTTTTTTGAAGCCAGTAAGAGGTGGAAATTTGTTACAGCAGTCCTGGGAAACAAATAACCAACTTTTCAGGTTAGGTGAGTGGAGTTGGGTTTCTGGCACTTTGCAGCCAAGAGTCAGGAGGGATGGAATGTCCCATGCTGAGCCTACATGATGTACACCTGCCGACTCCACCTGCATCATAAATGCACTCATAAAATGCTGATGGGGCAGACATATCATGAGTGCATTTCACAATGCGGACACAGTGATATGATGATATGTTGATGGGGCAAAAACCGAGCAGGGGTGCCGGCCCCTACGGTACTGGTTCAGGGGTGCCGGCCCCTACAGTACTGGTTCAGGGTGCTGGCCCCTGCAGTACTGGTTCAGGGTGCAGGCTCTGGAGTCTGACTGCCTGGGCCTGGATCCTGGACCCAACCACTTCCCAGTGTGTGACCTTGAGCAAGAAGCATACCGCCGTGAACCCCAGAGGTCTGACTGACACATGGATGTGATAACTGAACCCACTTCCAGAATGAGGAGAAGTGAGATGCTGCATTAGAACTCAGAACCGTGTCCGGTGCACAGCGGGTGCTGCATACACCTTCGTTTTTACCACTGTGTCAAGATCTTACACATTTTCCCACATTTTAGTTGCAAGGTGATTTCTGGAGGCAGCTCCCTCCTTACAAAGGCTGTTGGAGGAGGAGCACGTGGGATTCGGAACTTGACTACTGAGAAGAAATTGGTCATAACATCTCCAGACCCTTGATGGGAGTAGAGAGGCCGAAAGGATATTTTCGACACTCTGGGCAGATTTCTGTTTAGACAATTAGACAAGCAAGAACCTTGCATTTTTTTTTTTTTTTTTTGAGAAAGAGTCTCACTCTGTCGCCCAGGCTGGAGTGCAGTGGCGCAACCTCAGCTCACTGCAGCCACCATCTCCTGGGTTTAGGCAATTCTCATGCCTCAGCCTCTTGAGTAGCTGGGACTACAGCTGTGCGCCACCACGCCTAGCTAATTTTTGTATTTTTAGTAGAGATGGGGTTTTACCACGTTGGCCAGGATGGTCTCAAACTCCTGGCCTCAAGAGATCCTCTAGTCTCGGCCTCCCAAAGTGCTAAGATTGCAGGTGTGAGCCACCGCACCTGGCCACAAGGCTTGAATTTAGCCTTGAGGACATAAGCTTTTCAGGGGGATGATGGGAAGCCTCTGCCTTCATTCATTATTTTTTTTCTTTTTTTAAAAAATAGAGATAAGGTCTCACTATATTGCCCAGGCTGGTCTTGAATTTCTGGGTTCAAGTGATCCTCCCACCGTGCCTCCCAAATTGCTAGGATGATAGACCTCCTCATTAATTTTTTAAAGATACACAAAGTACCCTTGTTGTTATCATGATGTTAAAGGGGTCAGTGGCATCTGGGGCAGCCTGGGTTGCCTTGTTGGGAGCTGGGCTGGAATCTGAGAGGAGGAGTTGGCAAGGGGGTCGCTGGCCCCTCTCCGGCCCCTTGAATGGGCTTTGGATTGGAAGGGGTTTTGCTGGAAGGTGAGGTTTATTTCCAGAGTCCTTCACACACATGAGCCCAGGCACAGCAACTTTGTGGCAGGTGACAAAGTGTGACTGCCATTCTCGCCTCTGCATAAAACCTTGCGCCTCTGTGACCCACGGACAGCACCTGGGATTTGGACAGTGGTGTGCTCTTAAAGGCCTGGAGGCCAACGATGGCAGGGAAGTCCCCCCAAGTGGCTTCCTAGGGGTCAGCTCTGGGCATATGGGAGAAAGCAGATGGCAAAGAACACAGTGGATGCTAGGTGACACTGACTGAGAAACTTTTTGGGAAGCAGGGGACGGGAAGGACACTGAGTGACCACTCTTGAACCAGCAGCCATCTGGCTTACACCTAAGCTTTTGCTGCTCATTCCTATTTCCTTTTTTCCATTTACCCAGGACTCTACTCAATGCTTGATGGTCTCAGGGAGAATTTATCCCCCTCTCCCCAAGAAGGAGTGATCTTTTTTGCAGTAGTCAAGCACGATGATTCCCTCTACATTGAAATAATCTAGAGCCATGCTAATATGGTAGCAATTAGGTGCATGTGGCTATTTATAGTTATATTTAAATTCAGTGAAGTTAAATGACAGTAAAAATTCAGTTCTTTAGTCCTATTGCAAGTGCTCAAGAGCTCCATGTACCCAGTGGTTACTACGGTGAGCGGTGCGGATATTGTATCACTGCAAATATCTCGATTGGACAGCGCTGCTGTAGAGGGGTGAAGGCTGGCAGTTTCTCTACCGTGTTGATAAGTTCGGTTAGGGAAGAGCTTGCGAACTGACCTGGAGACAGAACTATTTAGTCCATCGCATGCTTACATTGTTTTGAAGCAACGGGCGAGATGTAAACTTGGGGGATATCTTGAGGGCTGTCTCTTTCTCTCTCTGCCTCCTCTTCCCTTTCTCTTCTTGTTCTTGCTCTCTCTCCAGATTGTTAGCTACCTCCTTCAGCCAGGGCATCCATTTACAGTTTCCCACCGTCTCTCCTGGGCTTGCTTCAGTTTACATTGCCTGGATGGCCCCTGTAGGCATGTGAGGCTGAGACTTCTGACCCACAGCCATCTTATATAGATGGAATGACCCAGGACAAGCGATCCTGACATATTAAGGAAATGATATTTAAAAGGCAACTGCTGACTTTACAGACCCAGGCACAGAGGAAACAAAATGAACAGATAATCCCCAGTTCACTGCTTTGCCTGAAATTGAAAAAACACCTCCTCAGCCCCCCAGGCCTTCCCTCAAGCTCTGGAGCCACTCCTGGGGTCGCCCGGGCTCAGGCCCCTGGGCAGGGTTCCCTACGCTTTCCTTGATGTCAGAGGAAAGGCATGTGGGGAGGCTCTGTTTTTCTCATTTGTAAGGGGATTGTTGGGGGCGCTAAAGTGTGACAACAGTAGCGATCACATTTCGGTCTTAATAAAATACCATGACGCTCAGCTAGACGCTACCTCATACTCCACCAGCTGACCTGGATCCAGTTACCCCTTGAGCCGGCTCGGAGCAGAGTTGGACCATGCAGAGACCATGAGGACGGGGGAGCCTCCGAGGAATAGAATCCCACGACCCTCAGTGCTGCCATCCTTCTCCTAGGGACGGGGGTGGGGGACTCTAAGTTAGAGGGGAGACTTGTCCACAGAAACTGCAGGGTGCTTCTGGTCTCTTCCGGGTCAAAGTGTGATTATCTTGGGGGGGGGTCTGAATGGGATCTGTTGGCAGAGATGGTAGAAGGGTTCCCATGGCCTTGATACAGGTGAGGTGCAGTGGGGCTGAGGACTGGCCCCTGTGCAATCCCTGTCTCCAGGGATTTTCTCTTTCTGACCCAGAGTGATACCTGCAAAGAGCCTTGTGTAAGGATGTCCATCATTCTGGTGAGAAGCTGGAAAACACCTAAAATTCCCTTGATGAGGACATAGCTAAGTAAAATGTGGTATATCTATTCAGTGGAATCCTACCCAGCAGTGCAGATGAAGGAGGTGGATCTTTATGCTAGCACATGGAAATGGTTCCAAGACATCCTAGAGCGTGAAAAACTCAGGCTAAAGAATCACACATCCAGTCTGAGTGCGGTGGCTCACACCTGTAATCCCAGCACTTTGGGAGGCCAAGGCGGGCAGATCACTTGAGGTCAGCAGTTTGAGACCAGCCTGGCCAACACAGTGAAACCCTGTCTCTATTAAAAATACAAAAAGTTAGCCAGGCGTGGTGGCGTACACCTGTAATCCCAGCTACTCGGGAGGCTGAGGCAGGAGAATCACTTGAACTTGGGAGGCAGAGGTTGCAGTGAGCTGAGATAGTGGCACTGAACCTCAGCCTGGGTGAAAAAGCAAGATTCTGTCTCTAAAAAAAATCAGCCAGGCATGGTGGTGCACACCTGTAATCCCAGCTGCTTGGGAGGCTGAGGTGGGAGAATCACCTGAGCCCAGG